GAGGGGCGGCTGTCCTCTCCGCCGAGGTCTCCTGTGGGGCAGGGTGGGAGGCTGTGGGGCTGGTGGGGGGAAGGCCCTCTATAACCATCTCCCTTCTTCTCCAGGTACTATGGGGGAGCCGAGGTGGTGGACCAGATCGAGCTGCTGTGCGAGCAGCGGGCTCTGGAGGCGTTTGACCTGGATCCTGCCCGCTGGGGTGTCAACGTTCAGCCCTACTCGGGGTCACCAGCCAACTTTGCAGCCTATACAGCCCTGCTGCAGCCCCATGACCGCCTGATGGGGCTGGATCTGCCTGATGGGGGCCAGTATGTAGTGGGGTGGGGCAGCCTGGAGCCTGCTGCCTCCCTGGGGGCTCAGCCTGATCCTGTGCCTCTGCCTTCCCCTGCAGCCTCACACATGGGTACATGTCGGACATAAAGAGAATCTCAGCAACATCCATCTTCTTCGAGTCAATGCCCTATAAACTTGACGTAAGCCGAGGGGGGCAGGTTCCTGTTGATCCCTGCGGTGCCCCTGGGGTGCCCGAGCTGCTCTGCCATTCCCTGCCCTACCCTCCCCATGTCCCAACCACGTCCCGGTGTCATGGGGTGCTTGGGAGCTGCCTGTGGTTCAGCCAAACATGCTGTGCTCAGAGCTGGGGGCAGGGAGGTGCATGTGCCTCGGCAAGCTGTCCGTCTGTCCATTCCTCGCAGCCAGCCACAGGGCTGATTGACTACGACCAGCTGGAGGTGACGGCACGGCTCTTCCGTCCTCGTCTCATCATCGCCGGCACCAGTGCGTACGCCCGCCTTATCGACTATGCTCGCATGAAGAAGGTACAGGGTGGCAGGCTCTGTCCTGGGTGACAGGACCTCTCGTGCCTGTGACGGCTCGAGGGCAGTCGCACCCCACTCGTGGCTACGGGGATAGGGACAGCCCATGACTCCCTGTGCCCTGTGTCCCCAGGTGTGCGAGGAGGTGAAGGCGTACCTGCTGGCGGACATGGCGCACATCAGCGGGCTGGTGGCAGCCAAGGCCATCCCTTCGCCCTTTGAGCACGCGGACCTGGTCACCAGCACCACACACAAGACCCTGCGTGGTGCCAGGTGAGGCTGCGTCCTGCCACCCCCTCCCCAGGGAGGATGCCTGCCCACAGCAGGGGAGCGCAAAGCAGAGGTTGCGTTTCATGCTCTGGCTGGGGCCAGAGCTGAGCAGGAAGGACCCGCAGGAGGGTGGTAGCAGGGTTGGCACTGTCCTGTGGTGCAAGGGTGCCAAGCCCCCACCATGGGGCAATGGCGGGCAGGTGGGAGGAGCGGTGCCAGCTCGCTCTCTCGTCACCAGGTCAGGACTGATCTTCTACCGCAAGGGCGTGCGCTCGGTGGATAAGAAGACAGGCAAGGAGATGCTTTATGACCTGGAGGATAGGGTCAACTTTGCTGTCTTCCCCTCCCTGCAAGGGGGGCCCCACAACCATGCCATCGCTGCCGTGGCCGTGGCCCTCAAACAGGTCTGTGCCAGGGCAGTGGGCTCAGGGCTGGGAGTGGCCCAGGCCCTGTGCTGATGTGGTCTCCCTACTGCCAGGCCAGCTCGCCAGCTTTCCGCCAGTACTGCCAGCAGGTGCTGAAGAACGCCAAAGCCATGGCACAGGCCCTGCTCCAGCGTGGGTATACCCTGGTGTCAGGTAATGCCTCCTTCCCCCTGCTTTTGGGGACAAGGAGGGATGAGGCTGTGGTAGGTTGCAAGTGGCACCGCTCAGTCTGTGTCCCTAGGCAGCAATGGGGAGCGTGGGTAGGTTCGGGGGCAGAGGGGATGCAAGGCAGAACATGGCTTGGGAGGCGGCACAGGTGAGGAGAGGGGGTGGCTGAGGGTGCTCGGGGCTGGTTGTCGCTCCTCACCCCTTTCCCTTGCTCCCCAGGTGGCACCGACAACCACCTGGTGCTGGTGGACCTGCGGCCCAAGGGCATCGACGGCGCACGGGCTGAGCGGGTGCTGGAGCTTGTCTCCATCACTGCCAACAAGAACACGTGCCCGGGGGACAAGAGCGCGCTCACGCCAGGGGGGCTACGCCTGGGTGAGGGATGCGGCCTGCTCAGGGGGGTCTTTCTGCCTCCATCCAGCCCCTTCCCTGGGGGAGGGGGGGTGTTCCCAGGCTTTCACCCTGGGGCATCCCCCCTCTGTTTCACTCCTCTGAGGACTCCACATGGGAATTTGGAGCTAGTTTCTGGCTTGGAGAGGGGCATGGGACCCCATGGGGGCTGGGACCTGGGGAGCCCCTTGGTGGGATTGGCTTCTGTGGATGGTGCCCCCGAGCAGCTCCCGGCCCTGATGGGCTCTGTCCCCCAGGTGCCCCCGCGCTGACCTCCCGCCGCTTCCGCGAGGAGGATTTCCAGAAAGTCGTAGCTTTCATTGACGAGGGCATCGTGCTGGCCGTGGATGTCAAGAACAAAACCAGTGAGTGAGCGGGGGCCCCTGTCTCCCCCATTCCTGGGTGCCAGTTGGCACCTCTCCATTTGGGGTGCAGGGACTGCACCCTGACCTGGTGCCAGCCTCCCCCCTTGCCTGGGCTGCTGTAATGTCCCCCCACCCTTCTCACCGGCTCCCCCTCCACCCCCAGGCAAGCTCCAGGGGGTCAAGACCTTCTTGCTGCAGGATGCGGAGACGCACTCCCCGGCCACCCCCAGGCAAGCTCCAGGAGTTCAAGACCTTCTTGCTGCAGGATGCGGAGACGCAGCGCCGCTTGGCTGACCTGCGCCAGCGCGTGGAGACCTTTGCTCGTGCCTTCCCCATGCCTGGCTTCAGTGACCACTGAGCGGGGACTCTCGCCCGTCCTGCTGGGCCAGGAGTACCTGGGGGCAGGGGGAGGCTTAAAACCACCCTCTGCATTTCCCTGTTCCCCTTCGTCCCCCACCAGCACCTTTGGGATCAGGCACTCCCTCCCAGGGGTGGGGGGCGGCCCACCCCCATCATGCTCTCAGTGTTAGGGTACAGAGACATCCCCCCCCCAGACCTTGATGGGGGGAAGGACCAGTCCTTGCTCCAGCCTTGTCCCCTCTGTCCAAACAAGTCTTGCACTTTTCTATGGGGGGGGTGCGTGCTAATAAAAGTGGGGGTAGAGCCTACCTGTGCAGAGGTGTGTGGGTGCTGAGCTGGGGGGG